CCCCCAATCTGGGACCCCCCTCAGAGCCAGGACCCTCTAGCTGGGACCCCAGTGCCACCCCCGGGCACACCGGCACAGGGAGGAGCCCCCCCCATGGAGGGAGCAGCCGGGGGTCCCTGGCACCCCCTTCCCTGCACTCGCTGACCCCCGCTCTCGCCCCCCAGGCCTTGCAGGGTCCCGGCCGGCCCTGCCATGGAGCTGCTGTTCGTGATCCTGCGCGGCGCAGGCCTGGCGCTGCACGTGGTGGGCTTCGTGCTGGACGTGAACTTCTTCCTGGTGTCCACGCTGGTGTCGGTGCTGCTGTGGCTGGTGGCCTTCGTGTGCAGCCTGCCGCAGGCGCTGGTGGCCGGGGCGCTGCAGTGCTGGGATGGGGCCCTCTTCTCGCTGCTCTACCTGGCGGAGGTGGCTTGCTGCCTGGTGCTGGGCTCCCTGCAGGCCCTGGCCGGGCTGCTGCGGGGCTTCAGCGCCAGCCTGGAGAGCCTCAAGGTGGCCGGGCACCTGGCCTCGCACCTGGTGCTGCGGGGCCGGGAGGCGGTGCACCGCGGGCTGTGGCACCTGCTGGGCTCGGGCCAGGCGCTGCTGCGGCAGGCGTGCGAGGTGTGCGCCATCGCCATGAGCCTCCTGGCCTACCTGGTGAACAGCGTCATCAACATGTGCCTCATCGGCACCCAGAACCTGTTCGCCCTGGCGCTGGCGCTCTGGGACTCCATCGTCGGCCCCTTCCTGCGCGTCACGGACCTGCTGGCCGCCTTCTTGGCCCACGTGTCCAGCAGCGCCGTGGCTGTGGCCATCCTCCTGTGGTCGCCCTGCCAGCTGGCCTTCGAGCTGCTGGCGGCTGCCGCCAAGCTCCTGCTCAGCGCCTTCGTCCTCAATGTCTACGGCCTGGTCTTGCTGGGGCTGATTCTGGCGGTCAGCGCCCTGCTCCTCAATCCTGAGCTGGTGTGGACGCTGGCGATGCAGGCCTCGGGCTACCTGAACACCTTCCCCTCCTACCACCGCCTGCGCCGGGACATGTGCCGCCTCTACCAGGTGGTGCTCCTCACACTGGGCATGGTCATGAGCTCCCAGGCTTGGCGCAGGCTGGCTGACTGGAGCCTCCAAGTGGCCAACTGGAGCGGAGGAGTCCGAGCAGTGAACCCGCAGGTCCCTCCAGGGCTGCTGGGCCCAGCCATGGGTGCTCAAAGGAGGCAGGGGGCAGCTGCAGCCCTCCCCAGGCCAGCCCCTCCTGCCAGGCAGGGGCTACCAGGAGCCAGTCAGCAGGCAACAGGGGGTGCCCGTCAGGTCCGGCAGCTGCCAGCCAGAGCTCCCGAGGAGCAGCACGGCGTGGATGCGCAGGGCAACGTGGCGGGGCAGCACCCTGCGGTCCCTGGGGAGGAACCGAGCACGTCGCGGGGAAGAGCCTCGGGGAAGGAACAACTGAACGCGGCAACGGTGGAGGATGGGGAGGACCCCTGGCTGCTCCTGAAGGAGCAGGAGGAGCGCAAGAAGTGCGTCATCTGCCAGGACCAGACCAAGACGGTCCTGCTGCTGCCCTGCCGCCACCTCTGCCTGTGCCAGGAGTGCACCGAGATCCTGCTGCAGCAGGCTGTCTACCAGCGCAACTGCCCGCTCTGCCGCCAGATGATCCTGCACACGCTTGACGTGTACCTGTGAGCCGCACATGCTGGACCACGCCGGGCCCCCCTCTGCCGGGGCAGCTTCTGCCTCCAGCTCGGCGCCACGCTCCCGATGCTGCCTTGAGTTTTCCAAAGAACTGATGAAAGGGTCAAAGAGCGAAGAGACTGTCAGAAGCTTCCATTCGCTCACATCTTGTACTTGCGTCTTGCTGTCACCAGAAAGCACAGCTGCCTGTCTGGGTCACGAGGCTTCGCCTTGCTCAAGACTGTTACCTCGATTGCAGGCCACGCGGCATCTCTGAAGCAAGGCTTGAAACATGCTCCAGTGGCTGAGAGGGGAGAAAAGGTGAAGGCAGGGCCTGGGGGGAAAGCCAACTGCTGGGACAGGGTTGGGTCTGGGGATCCAGCGAGCACCAGGTGCTTGCACCCTGCTCTGGGAGGGATTTTTTAGCAGGCTATGCCCCTGAAAACCTCGGGGTCCCCCCTCTATACTGGTGGGGGCAGAGCATGCCCTTCTAATTCTTGCCTTGGCCTCCCAGGGGAGTGGATGGCCTGGAGCCCACAGCAGGACAGTGAAACAGTTTCACTCCAGAGCTGCCCCACTCAGGCCCCCACCAGCCACTAATGCATTTTTCAAGCCTTGAGCCCACCTGCCTTGTGTTCCCTGCCGCCAGAGACACGTTGCGGGGACGTGTCCCGTGGGGGCCGAGACCTGCTTTCAGAAAGCAGCTTCTCATTTTTGGACCCTGATACTCCAGTGGGGAAGGGGGTGGGGGCCTGGCTTCTTCCCATCCCTGTTCAAAACTGGGAGAAAAATAGTCTGAGATGGTTCTTCCCCACATTACCGGATGCCTCCCTCCCTGGCAGTGGAAAACACAAGCTCTTCCCAGTCTGACCTGTGTCAGGGTTACCAGGATTTCCGTGGCCGCGCTGGCATGTCTGCTCTGCAGGTCTCCGATGCAACACTATAGCACATTCCAGGCTCCTCGCACCGCTGATGATTTCTGTGGAGGGGAAGCGGTGCAGGGAGGGGGAACAACACGGATTCTATTTTTGTAAGACGCGATTTCTGACGCCCCCCGAGAGCGACAGCTGCCCCCTTCCCAGCAGAGCCGGCCTCGTCTCTGCAGCACCAGTGCAACCAGCCCCTTCTTGCTGTGACTCAGTCCACCGCTGGAAGGTGGCTTCCCACAGCCTGCGCAACCCCAAGACAACCCCCACACCGGGTCAGATGGGGCAAGCTCCGGATGCTGTGGGCAGCTCCGAGAGGCCCGTGCTTCTCCGTGCGTGAGGAAGGCGCCGTCACGCCTGTGCATCGCGTGTTACGGGTCTGCCTTGGTTGTCAGCTGAGTGGGACCCTCCCAGTGCTCTGCTTTACCGACTGCCTCCAATGTGAAACATATTCTAACCTGACTTGCTCTTGCCTTTTTCTTTGATGTGGTAGTGTCTGAACCGGGAGGTCTGGGAGGGAGAAGCACAGGCATCAAGAGGGCCGACAGATAGGCACTTGAATTAGAACAGCAGCTGGAGTGGGGGCATCAGTGTGCCAGGCCTGAGCACATCACCAGTGCCAGCCTCAACTGCAAGCCAGGAGCCTGCGGGGCTGGGAGGGAGGGGGAGGGGGATTTATTTTTCCCCCTATCCAGCTAATAAAAAATTGATAAGTGTTCTAACCCCAAATGGAGCCCGGCAGCAGGCTGGGGGAGGGGAGTCGCCTGGGCTCGCTTACTCTGCAGATACGGAGTGCGCCAGGCAAGGCTGGGTCCCGGCTGCAGGGTGCGATGGACCCGAGCCGGACTTGCTGCTGCGGTTCAAGGAAGGTTCCTGAGCGGGCGTGGCTGCCGCCTGCATCTTGCTCCTGCAGGCTGGAGCCCAGCTGCTCTAGCAGGGCAGGGCCTTGGGGAGGGAGTCCTTTTAGGACCAGCGATTCTGCCCTCCAAGTTGGTGTGCCTCTAGGCATCACACTGCTGGGAAGCCTCCATAACCCCTCTCATCTCACTCCCAAGGGGAGGCAGAGCAGCCCCCGCCTCCCCTTCCCAGCTGCCTTGTAAAGAATCCCAGGAGCGAGGTCACCCTCAGCCGCCCCCGGGTGGGGGATGCCGGTGGCTATTTTGGGCACCCCCCAGAAGCCGGAGCTGCCCCCTCCTCCCCAGCCCGTGCTGCTGCTGTGGCTATTTTAAAGCAGCTCTTGCCTTCTAGGGTCTGGCTCGGCGCTGCTCCCACGAGCTCCCTGCAAATTAAGAGTCTCCTTTCCCGGCAGTGCTCGCATCTCCAGGCAGCTTTGCCGCGCCGTGCCTGCGGGCTCCTGGCTTCGAGGGCTGTTGGGTGCTGTGCTCGGTGCCCCCCTCGGGGTGCTCCTTCTGAACCTCGGTCCTTTGCTTGTGTCCCTGCTGTCGGCTTTAGGTTTCCCCTGTAATCACCTGACTACACTTAGTGGCCCCCTGTATCAAGGAGGGCTTTCGGCTTCATCTCGTGGGCATGGGCCCACAGTCTGCGTGCACGTCAAAGGGGCCTTTCCTAGTGCCTGGGCCACGACACAGGGGCGGCGGTGTTGAGGCTCCCTCCCCACCTGCTCCAGGGCCGGAGGTGTCCGGCTGAGGTCACGGGTGCATGAGCAATGCCCTTAACCCAGGATTTTTTTTTTTTTTTAAGGAAAAATGTTCACGTTCCAAGCCAAATCCATTCCAAATCCGTGAGTCATTCAAGAACTATAACCGGCCCTACAACCGGCAAACATCCTCCACCCCTACCTGGGGCTCCAGATGCTTCCAAATCATTTAGGGGGCATCCTACGGGCAGGCCCAAGCCCAGAAGCTTGGGGTTCGGACGCCCCCGAGTTTCGCCTGCCCTCAGCTGCGCGGCCACAGGAGCAAGCTAGGGAGGGGACTCCCCTTTCCATAAAGTGGGCGTCAAGCCAAGAGCTTCCCACTGGAAAAGAAAGCGGGAGGTTACGTATACTTTACCTCCACCCCATCCCCAGCCACTCGGAAACCCGCGGGAGCGGTCACGGTGTTTCCCCTGCCAGGGCAGCATGGGATGGGCAAACAGGCTGATGGGAACCTACCCCGAGGCCAGGTGAGTGCAGGCCAGGTGCAGCAGGGGCGGGGGGCGCACCAGCTGCTCTCCTGGCATCGGGGTGAGACCCCTGCCCCCCACAAGGGTCTGCCCAGGTGCCCTCCTCCACCGGCGGGGCTGCCCCAGGGCTGTGAAGCTCCCT